CCCTACATTTGAACCCTAAAGTTCAAAGTGGGGATCCAGCCTTGACAGCCCCTTTACAAGAGAACAGGCCCTTTCAGATTGGGATTTTGAACCAAGGGCACATAGGGATTTCTCTTGCACTGCTATGAAAAACACATTTGTTCTATATGGAGCTGCCATTCATATCAAGACCTAAAGTAACTGAACCAAAACACAGTGAAACATCTCCCCTCCCCTCCCCACCCCCAAAACTCACTCATGAGTCTTACAACTTAGCTAGCGATGCTATAGAACTGTGTACAAGACTTTGCTTACTGACATGGAGAAAAGGGAGAAGTTGGTTGCATGACTGCATAAGTAGACAGGAACAAAGGTATGATTAGAGAGGTTGGGGTATTTATATTGGGTCTATGGCATGCTGGGCTGGAGGGAATTGGATTTTTCCCTAAACTGCCAGCTACAGCTCAAAATGGTTCTGTGGCCACATAACTAGGTACAGCATATTCTTGCAATGGTGCTCTGCAAAGCACCAATGACAAGGAGAAGCGATACGTGATTCTAACAGACAGGGCTAGCCTTCAATTTGCAGCCTACTCCTCTACAATAACTCCTTGCTTAACGTTGTAGTTATGTTCCTGAAAAATGCGACTTAATGCGAAACCATGTTAAGTGAATCCAATTTCCCCATAAGAATTAATGTAAATGGGGGGGGGGTTAGGTTCCAGGGAAATTTTTTTCCACCAGAACTAACTAACTAACTAACAAACACACAGTGTAAGTTTTAAACAAAAAAATTAATACTGTACACAGCGATGATGATTGTGAAGCTTGGTTGAGGTGGTGAATGGGATATTTCCCAGGGAATGCCTTACTGCTAAACTATGAACTAGCTTTTGGCTGAGCCCTCAAGGGTTAACCCATTGTTGTTAATGTAGCCTCACACTCTACAAGGCAGCACGAATGGAGGGAGGGGAGACAGCATGGCAGACACATACCCTGTGTGAGACAGAGATGCGCATTGACCCTTTAAAGGTGCGCACTGACCGCACTCTAAAGTACACTGCCTTGTTAAGTAGATCAGCAAGTTGAGACAGCAGCTGCTCCCAGGAAGCTCCCTCCGTCCTGAGTCCTGTCATGTTGTTCCTGCCCATGGAGATGGGGTAGGTGGGGTGCAGGAGCAGGGGGGAGGGGGAGACCCTGACATTAGCCCCTCCCCCTTCCCCTGCACAGTAAGCAGGAGGCTCCTGGGAGCAGCTCCAAGGCAGAGGGCAGGAGCAGCACATGGCAGTGGGGGCGGGGGGAGGGACAGCTGAACTGCCAGCAATTGATAGCCTGCTGGGCAGCTGCCGCACAGGGAACTTAGGGGAGCGGAGAGCTGATGGTGGGATGCTGGTCCACTCTGGTTCCACCAGCTAGCTCCAACCAGCTGCTCTTCCTGCAAGCCGTGGACAAAGCAGGTGGCTGCCAAACGACGTTATAAGGGAGCATTGCACAACCTTAAACAAACACGTTCCCTAATTGATCAGCAAGGTAACAATGAAATAACGTTAACCGGGACGACTTTAAGTGAGGAGTTACTGTACCTACTCACTCATTCCCTCCTTTCCTCCTGCCCCCAAGTTGTTATATAAAGGGATGAAAGGGTAAGAAAGAGCACAAGTTTTCTTCCAATTGCTCCTTCTGCCCAGTGGAAATTAGAATGGTACCAACTGCCTCACACTCTAGCCCTGTGATCAGCAGATGAGACTAGGACAGAATTGAAAGTTTCTAAGGGTTCTATGATAATCCATGCCCCAAACAGCAACTTGATTTGCCTGTACTTAAGGCTAGACCTACAAGGCACCTGAACATACAGTATTAATATATCATATTATACAGGGCTTCAGATTTGACACAATTACAGGTTTACAGAGACATGTCTTTGCCTAAAATAAGAAGCAGGTTGACCAGTATTATTCTGCGTTGTTTTATCTGAGAAAAGCCAAATATTTTCCATGCACTACTTCTTTCCCCTGCCTCAAGCTGAGCCACATAATATCTTGCTAAGAAATGCCCTACATGTGCAATATATGATGGGGAATGTACATGGAGAGAAGAAATGCATTCTTGAAATTTATATTGATTTGACTAAAAATACAACGTCCCCCTTTCTCCGAAGCCTCATCAAATAAAGATCAACAATCTAAAGGCTAATATCTACCATTTTAAGTGGTTTTAGAGATTAGTTTGACAGCCTTCCATGAAAAAAATCTTCTGACTTTTTAACCTCCCTGAGGCAGGCATTTTCCTGGGAATCAAAGCATCAAAGGTTATTGGTTTAGAAAAGAAAATAATAAGAATGCTGCTTCAGCTATCATAGCAAGAGCTTTTTCCAAGGAAGTGGCCTTCATCCCCACCACAAGCCATTTTCTTGAAGCAAGGAGAAACAGATGACGACACTGAACTAGGGGCTGGGGTGTATGGTGGAGATGGGACTCAATGATTTCCCATTAACACCTACTGTTCCCCACACCCCATCCCATCAGCATTTATTATCCTGTTCAAGATTTTTCAAGCTGGTTTTACAAGTCAAGGAATGCGTATAACAATTTAGGAGTAGAGGTGACATTTCTAGTCTTTAGCTCAGGGAGGATGGGGTGTGGAGAAGAAGGGAGCTATAGGGGGAGGAAGGAGTGGCAGAGAAGTCTTCTGTTTAATGCTTTCCACAAAAGAATTCATGCAGCAGCAAAGGACTTGGGGTGCCATTTTCACAAGCATCCAGCCTTAACCTGCTTCCACTGAACTCAATGGAAGTTTTACCTGGCAGACACGTTTGAAAATCTCACCTTCAGTGACTTGCCACAAGTATCACATCATTGCTCGTGGCTTCTAGTCCTGTGTGCTCACCACTAGACTGCATCTGTTTCTGGGTGAGCTTAATAAATAAGTGTCAATAATAAAAGAAAAAGCAAAGAAATGAAGGTTAGTCTGAATCTGTTGCCCCTCCAGGGGACTCTACAAACCCTGTTCTCCTCATAAAAGCAAAGTTATATCCCATGAATGCAGTGTACTGGACTTGATGCCATCTTATTCCACATGCTTTTGGAGTAAGTGTAAGACTGTCTCTCTAGGACTTTGTTTTAAAACAGAAGTTCTATCAGGTCTCAAGAGGTTTAGCTGGGCAACCCTAATCAAATACACACTATATTGAAGCACAGAACTCCACTCACCTTTCCTCCCCGAGTTACCCTGGCTCGATGGCTTATCAGTTACTGAACCTTAAAGGGAGAGAAACAAAACAAAAAAAATATATCAAGACATGGTTTGTTTAGAGGCAGCATGACCAAACAGCACATACACAGTCACAGAAATATACTTCAATAGCCTAATCTCCAGGGTTTGTTTTTACCTTCCAGCAACCCCATCTAGGGTTCCAAGACTCCACTGTAGGAGTCCATGGCAAACACTTAAGGCAGCACAAGGAACAGTTTTACGCATTAAGGCAGTCAAATCAGGGTCACATTAAACAAGTGATCCTTATGCCTTGTCTACACTACATTGTTTTGTCGACAAAACAGCAGAGGTGTACACACTACAATGTTCCTTCTGCCGACAAAACTCTCCTGCTTTGCCAGCAAAATAAAACCACCTCGACAAGAATATACTCATGAACTGTTCATTCTGCTGGACATTCACTGCCGCTCCAAGACACCCTCACCTCTGAAGGAATCATCTCTCCAGAGACAGAAGGGTAGAGCCAATGGTGCTTTGAATGGCTGGGATGAAGCTCGTTTTATAGTGTTTCCAGGCATTGCTGCAAGCCACTCTTTTTCCCTTCGAGTAAGAGAAGTAGTGCTAAACCTTGACATCTAGCAGCCCTCTCTTGCATGGAACTGGAACAGCAGCCATGTACACAGAAAGAGGTCAGCATGTCAGTAAACTGGAGGCGTGAAAGTAGTTCACTTGAAAGTTGTGTCCATTGTGTTATAATAATTAATGGAGATATCCTATCTCCTAGAACTGGAAGGGACCTTGAAAGGTCATTGAGTCCAGCCCCCTGCCTTCACGAGCAGGCACAAGTACTGATTTTGCCCCAGATCCCTAAGTAGCCCCCTCAAGGATTGAGCTCACAACCCTGGGTTTAGCAGGCCAATGCTCAAACCACTGAGCTATCCCTCCCCCCTTACGAGGCAATGGTGAAACAAGAGAGGCTCTAACTTTTTCTTGTCCTTCTGCACCAATTGAATAGTAGCTGAGCTTTACTTCCCGCAAAGAACTTACCACGTCTACCATATTTAAACCTGTATTGCCCCATTCTTTAAACATAACGGTACTTCAGAGGATTTATGGGTAAGTAAAAAAATAGCCCATCCCTGGATTCCAGGCTGTGGTTCCACTTCCCTACCTTAACTATCTTCTGTAAGTCTTTCACTGCATGTCTGCACTCCAATCAACCATGGAGCTGCCACAACCATGAGAGAGAGATTGGGAACACGAGCTGCCATATGGCTAGGGTGCACACAACTGAGTGGGAGTAGTGGGCACAGCTGCAACTTTAGTTTGGCAAATTGGTAAAGTCACTCACAAATACTGAACTAGTGGCACTAGGAACAGAACAGCTCCCCCTCCCCTTCTCTTCCACCAATATTTTAAATCATCAATCAAATAAATGCTTATTTAATCCCACGCCACAGTACCTGAACATACAGGAGTTTTATTCTGTACAGAAGAGCCGCTGATGGGTTTGCCATCGGGAGTGACACACCAACAGTATCCGGTGTAGGTATGGCATTGCACCTGTTCAGGAAAGGAAAGAGCAATAACTGACACTGTTTCTCAAAGTATCCTCCACAATGCCTTCCTACCTTAGCTCTTGTGCATCCTTGCTTACCCAGCACCTTAAAAGTGAATCTCAGCTTGGGAGGCCCATCCCTTCAGCATGGGAGATTGTGAATTTAAAAAAAAAAAAAAAAAAAAAAATGCTTTCAGTTTTGGCAGACATTGGTTTGGACAATGGTGGTACTTTATGTTTGGCTAAAGAAAGGTTCTTCTCCTTTATTCTAATCAGTCTCCAGATCAGGGCTTGAAGCAACTGACCGAATCTCCTCTGAAAACATAAGAATGGCCATACTGGGTCAGACCAAAGGTCCATCTAGCCCAGTATCCTGTCTTCCGACAGTGGCCAGTGCCAGGTGCCCAGAGGGAACAAACAGAACAGGTAATCATCAAATGAGCCATCCCGTCGCTCATTCCCAGCTTCTGGCAAACAGAGGCTAGGGACACCATTCTTGCCCATCCTGGCTAATGGCTATTGATGGACCTAGCTTCATGAATTTATCTAGTTCCTTTTTGAACCCAGTTATGGTCTTGGCCTTCACAACATCCTCTGGCAAGGAGTTCCACAGGTTGACTGTGTGTTATGTGAAGAAATACTTTATTTGTTTTAAATCTGCTCCCTATTAATTTCATTTGGTGACCCCTAGTTCTTGTGTTATGAGAAGTAGTAAACACTTCCTTATCTACTTTCTCAACACCAGACATGATTTTATAGACCTCAATCATCTCCCCCCTTAGCAATCTTTTACATTTTATCTATGGTGTGTAGCATTACACCTCACTCTGTCCCTTCCTTTGGTTCATATTTATTCATGCCACCATTTTACTTACCATTCTCCATACATATAAACTGATATGATTGGCATTTGTACTATCCCTCTCAATTGCATGCTGGTTCAATAAAGGCTTCCCCAATCCCTGCCACCACAATCACCAGGCCCAACACCACACTGAGTGGCAGATGTTTGAGAGTACAATAGTTTTTCCAGTCACTGGATAAAGTGGTAACAGGCCTTGTTTTGATATTGCCACTTTTACAGGTGAGCTTGAACACTTTCCACTTACCGCACATTAGCATTCCAGCTTGGCAGATAGGAACAACCAAAATATGCTTGCATTTGTGTACGCCCATGGATTTTAAATACTTAAAGGCTTCAGGTAAGCCATCAAAGCTACCAGGGTGGTATCCCTAGCAATGTCAGTGTGGGTCTCTGATCAGATGGCAGCACAACTCTTACCACATTAAACTAAGCCATTCCAGATTTTCATGAATTAGTCAGCAGGTGGCTGACAGTCACACTTTTTCACTTCATATTATAGACAGACAAAAGCCCGCACTACTCAAGTGGTTGTGTTAATGCTAAGCCATTTGCATTGCACTAAAAGGCAGCATTTGAACTCCAACCGCACACTTTCAACACTGGCTGGGTTTGCATAGCAGTACTTCCAGTACCTTAGTGGTGGGCATGTATTCACAGTACACCACTGTAAACTTAGAGAAGGCTCCTTAGACTCAGTTCTGCAATGAGATCAACCTAACTACTGCTGGACTCTGTCGGTCCATCTCTTTTTCAAGCCTTCTGAGTGAAGTTCCCATCAGTCAGGCAGGATAGTGGCACTGACCCACTATTGCACTTCATTCATTAGGGGCCACTTCAGACCTAGGGCATTTGTAGTCTCTGTCCAATAGCTAGACCCAATTTCCTAAAGTAGCCAAGTTTGGTCAGAGACTATGAGCAGCTTTTAAAAGGCTTTGCATATTTCACATAAAATGTGATCCAAGAGCAAGTATAAACCCAGCACTGTGTGTGTCTTGGGTTATACTAACTTATAAGGCAATCATTTTGCCTCAAGGCAAATCCTCATCTTGTGGCCAAAACCAACAGCAAGTACATGCGCACATGCACACACATTTCTAGTCATTGTTATTGCTGTTTGCACACTTTCACTTTTATTCCTTCCCAATACATCATGGAATGGATCGCAGATTGCATTTATGGTGCATGAAAGTAATGAACCATTCATCACTTGGTAATGATTCTTGTGAGTCACTCTAAGCTTACACCAGAGTAAAATACTGACATATAAAGGAACTGTTTGTTTTTCAACGTACTTTGTGTTTATTTTTGGTAAGTACACCTCTACCCCGATATAACGCGACCTGATATAACACGAATTCGGATAGAACACGGTAAAGCAGTGCTTCGGGTGGGGGGGGGGGCGGGGCTGCGCACTCCAGTGGATCAAAGCAAGTTCGATATAACGCGGTTTCACCTATAACGCGGTAAGATTTTTTGGCTTCCGAGGACAGTGTTATATCGAGGTAGAGGTGTACGTGCTTCACAGAGACACACATGAAAACACACTAAATGGTGCTAGTGTCAAGACCACCACCAGTAAAATCTTGCCCAAGGATTAGAAGAGTTACTGAGATTGGGATTCTAATTCTTTGTCCGAGGGCATTACATATAGACAAGGACATTTTCTTTTGCAATGCAATATTCTGCAGAGCTATTATTTCAGAAGTGGGCACTATACACCACAGCATTGACATGTGGTTCCTTCACTCAGAATGTACAGCAGCAAGGTGTTTTATAACATTTTGTGCTAAGTGTTTGCTTTAATGGCACATGCTATATTTTTATTCTTATTATATATAAAAAATATAAAATTGTGCATATGCAATGTTTTCTGTGAAGTACAGTGCATCTGAACACATGCATTATCTGGGACAACTGAGCAATAGGGTGTTGCAAGTGTAATTTAGATCACATTGTATTCCTTAAGCCAGAGAGTTTAGAAAGACATTTAAGTGGGTGTGTTTTACTACAATTCACACAAAAATACTGAATATATAATGGTGTTGTATAAGCTGTTTATTGGCATAAATTTGGGGTGACTGAATTATCCAAGGGTGAGTTTTGCACAAATAAGCTGATAAAACTCCTTCATGCCACACAATCATGCAGCCCCTATAGGTGTCACGTTCATTAGAGAATTTTAAAAAATAAATTATGAAACTTTCAAACTGATTTTTCTAATCATCCACCTGTACTGTCAGGTAGCTTAGTGGCCATGAGCCAGGCCACACGCAGAAATTAGGCCCTGATCCAAAGCCCATTGACCTCAATGGAGACCAATTGACTTGAACAGGCTTTGGCTCAGGCCCTACATGAGCTCAGGAAAAGAACGAACAGGGCCCCCATGTGTGGCCTTGTCAACTGCCCCATCCACAAAAAGGAAGCACCATCACATCAACTAGGCTCTTCCCCTTGTTCCCATTATTCTTCCCAATTTCTACTTTCTTTCCTCCCCCTTTGATTTTTGGCCTCCTTCCTGTTTCCAGGGGGGTCAGGATGGCTGAGGGCTCCTCGTGCTGGCAGAAGTGCTGTCTGATGTTGTCACAGCAGTATGGCCAACTCCAAATATTCAAAAAATCGTAAGTCAGGCCCCCAAATATCATGAGAATTTAAAAAGTTGAGGTTCATTTTTTTGCCTTCTGTTTGAGTTTGTGAGACCCTGGGGTCACATTTTCAAGCTTTTCTCCACAATCATGAGGGCTGGAAACTTTCATTAAAATAGCAAGCTGAAAGCCTCGTGTAATCTCCAGGAGCCAGGGCTTGAAGTACACCACCATACGTCATGAGACTCGTGATAAAAATCTCAAGGGTTGGCAACACTGCATCACATTGCTTCTCCAACATTGCACCCTGGATAGCTTCCTGCTGCTGCACTGAGACTATGTGCCATGCTCCATGGCTCTCACTAGCTGATACTGGGCTCATCTATGCCTCTTTTACCCCCTCATGCATGGGGCTCAGACAACTGCCCAGGAAATTGAGAACAGACATTTTAGAAACCTCAAGCTTACTAAACCATAACATTGGGAGATTAAGATCCAGGACACTAGACTTGACCACAGAATGTTTAGGAGTCAGAACAATGCTGGTCCAGCACCCAAAGAGTGCAATTATGAGCCTGGAAGAATCTAACCCATCTCATTCTCACTTTATATTTCTATATTCAGTATTTATAGGGAAGGTAGGAAAGCAGATGGTCTAGCACGATTTCTAATGGCAGGTAATTGGAAAAGGTCAGCTTTCCCCCCGAAATCAAGCCAGGTGATGGTTAGAAATGTTTATCTAGCTCCTGCATCTCAGGAATTTTGAGAGTTCTTGATGCTTTCCAAACAGTTGTGTACTTTCCAATTGGTATCTGAAATTTTTGATGTTTATTTAAATCTAATCCACAGCTTTGTGCAGGGTGAGGGATAGTTATGAGTGAATCACAATGGCCAGAATACACAACATGGTCAGTCAGAAAAAGCATTAACATGTTATGGTAACTGTGCCTTAATAAAAAGTTTCCCAGAAAGAGACTGACCTTACGCCACAGATCGGCTTCTTGTGGAAATGCAGAATCGAATTTGGGTGTTATCTTCCTATAAATGTTCAGTATCATCCACTTTTATTGGAAACATTTTAAGTTCAGCTCCTTTTTGCTCCCCTCAGCCTTGAAAATCAACAGTTATTGGGGACAGCAATGGATCCTGTTCTGTCTCATGCACTGACAACAAAATTGTTAGTTAAGTTCCAGCCAGAATCTTCATTACTGGTGAAGACGTAGGAGTCAAAGATACAGCTGAACTTTCAGACTCCACCGTGAATCTGTCTGGCTGACAGCTGAACATTTTAAGTTATAAACCCCAAGCAGATATGATGATATGGAATGACTGAGGGGGAAAGAGATTGAACCCAACAAGGCCTTTACAGATTTTCAGAACTATGCTATTTACTACAAATTAACTTTAAAAAAGGACACCTGCTCCTACCTGACTTAGTAATTAGGCAAGAGGACGCAATTTCTATTCTTCAGGAGTAAGGGATATGCCATCTCCATTATGCCTTGATTGAAGAATGAAAAGCAGGAAGGATGCACCCAACAAAAATTGCTTTATCACT